GTTTATAAGTTCATTTATCAACTCGTTCGATTATTTTCATGAATAGGGATGGGCATAAGACCCGAACTCGACGGGTTCCGACCCGATTAGCTCGGGGTTTTTTAAAAAAAATAGGATTCGGATCAAGTTGTGTTTTTTAAAGATGATGTTCGGTCGGGTTGGGTTTAAATTTAGGGTGAAAAATATCCGACTTGACTCAAAAAATATATAATTTTACCTAATATATTCAGGGATAATTATAATAAAACTCCTCTATATATTATTATTTTTTAATTAAATCATTATTTTTATTGAATAAAAATACTATTTTTTATTATTTCGGGTAAGGCCGGGTTCATATTTTATCTTAAAAACTCGGGTAAGGTGGATGGTTTATATTTTTCAAGTTGGGTCGGGTCGGTGGAGGGTATAAAATTTTTGGGTCGGGTCAGGTTGATCGAAACCCGACTCAAACCCGACTCGTGCCCATCCCTGCTCATGAACAAGCTCGTTTAAAAGCTCATTTACTTTTTTTCCTTTTTAAATATTGGCGAGTGTAGTGACTAAACTGAATACACGATGAAATTTGAAGTTTAGGGTCTATTTATTTCCCTATAATTGGTTTTCTAGAAAATGTTTTCCTCATTTTCCAGTTATTGGTTGGCGAAAAACAGATGGTCAATGTAATTTATTTTCCTGATCAACTGAATTTCCTTTGTATTTTCTAGAAAATGACTTATCATCTGATTTTTCGTAAGTTATTTTACGAACTTTTCACTTCAAAACATAAACACTCAAAACATTATTATTTTATATAAGTAATATTAATATATTATTTTAATATCATTTTAATAAAAAATATTAAAATATTAAAATATATTTATAGATAATTTGCCATATTTTTCCATAACATATCTGCATTATTTAATTTTTATACAAGTTTTGGAACTACAAAATTAAATAATGCAGATATGTTATGAAAAAATATGGCAAATTTCATTAGAGATGTGGGCAAAAACACTCTTGGGTTGTCGACAGGGAAGGTCAAGGAACATAAAGAATCATGGTGGTGGAACGAAGAAGTCCAAACTAAGGTGAAGAGAAAACAAACTTGCTTCAAGGAGTTTCTACAATGCAATGACGACGAAGAAAGATCGAGAGCTAAACAAAGATACAAGGACGCAAATCGGGAAGCCAAGAATACAGTGGCTAAAGCAAAGGATAAAGCATACGAGGAAATGTACAGGAGATTAGACACCAAGGAAGGACAAAACAGCATCTTCAGGCTTGCAAAATCCATGGAAAATAGGAAAAAGGATCTAGGTAGCATTAGGTTTATTAAGGACAACAATGGTGTTCTTTTAGTTAAAGATCATGATATTAAGAGGGTTTGGGGTAGTTACTTCTTTGGCTTGTTTAATAATGGTGCCTCTCCCTGTAGAGATAATATCGTTGATGGGTCAGCCGACCATCATACTACGACCAATGACTGCCCTACAAGTAGGATTGAGTTTGAGGAAGTCAAAATGGCTCTTAGAAAGATGGGGAGGGACAAAGCTGTCGGTCCATATCAAATTCCTATCACTGTGTGGTTGACCCTAGGAGAAGAGGGAGTTAAGTGTTTGACCAACATCTTTAATATTATTTTAGAGACTGCCAAGATGCCAGAGGAGTGGAGAGAGTCTACGGTGATACCAATCTATAAGAATAAAGGAGATCCCCAACGTTGTGGCAACTACAGAGGTATTAAACTACTCAGTCATACCATGAAGCTATGGGAAAGGGTAATAGAGGCTAGGTTGAGACAGGTTACTAGGGTTTTAGAAAACCAATTTGGCTTTATGCCATGCAGGTCTAATACGGAGGCGATTCATCTACTTCGACGACTTATGGAGAAATATAGGGAAAAAAATAGTGATCTTCACATGGCGTTCATTGACCTTGAGAAGGCGTATGATAGCGTTCCCCGCGATACGATCTGGAAGACCTTGGAAACGAGACGGATCCCAACTGCTTATATCCGGGTGATTCGTGATATGTACTGTAGATCTACTACTACCGTCAGGACTACAGTTGGCGACACCAAGGCATTCCCGGTGGAAATTGGACTCCACCAGAGGTCGGCTCTTAGCCCTTACATCTTCGCCTTGATTATGGACGACATCTATTGTGCGACACTAGACGGTGTTCCATGGTGTATGCTTTTCGCTGACGACATTGTCCTAATTGCTGAAACAAAAACTGAGCTGAATAGTAGACTTGCTACTTGGAAGACTGCTTTGGAAGAAAAAGGTCTAAGGATCAATATTGAAAAGACAAATTATGTATGTTCTAACTTCAGTGGAAACCAAAACGATGAAGATGTAGAAGTAGAAGTATGCATAGAAGGACACATTATCCCCTCAAATGATTGTTTCAAGTACCTAGGGTCTATGATACATAAAGATGGGGGTGTAGATGAAGACGTTACACACCGTATAAAGGCGGGATGGCTAAAGTGGAGGGCTGCTACTGGAGTTTTGTGTGACAAGAAGGTGCCTCTAAAACTAAAGGGAAAATTTTATAGAATGGCAATAAGACCAGCGCTGCTGTATGGATCAGAATGTTGGGCAATCAAGAAGGATCACGTAAGGAGGATGGAGGCCGCAGAAATGAGAATGCTTCGATGGACATGTGGTAGGACTCTGTGGGACATGACACCTAACTCTGCTATTAGGATGTACTTGGGGGTGGTGTTGTATCCGAAAAATTGAGAGAGGGAAGACTACGGTGGTTTGGGCATGTCCTTAGGCGACAACCGTCGGATGCGGTCAGGAGGGTAGAGTCGATTACAGTCGACGGTGTCAGAAGGAGAGGACGACCAAGACGGAAGTGGGAAGACTGCTTGAGATCTGATTTGAAGGAATTAGCCCTTACCGAGGACATGACCTCCGATAGGAAAGTATGGAGACTTAAGACCAGGGTAGTTGAGTAGTGCGGTTCACAGCCATAGGGTGTAACATCTCTGTCTTCTTTTTAATGTCTTTGTAGTACTTTCCATGACTTCTACTTTATACATGTTTCTGTCATTGAAATGTATGAAGGCTTAGAACTAGGGTATCGGAGTAGTACTGCCTTAGTTTAAGAATTAACTCATTTGAATTTATTCCTTCTCTTAGCTTGCTATTATTAACTTCTGTGTATCATTTCTATTCATGTTTCCTCTTTTTAAATTTAGCGTGGTCTTACATTTTCAGTCTATATGTAGAGATTTCTATGTAGAAAATTATTTGCAGGGAATTATTTACAGGAATTACTCCCCATTACAGACACACATATCAAGACTGCATATGAAGACTGTTCATTTATGTATTTATTTATTTATTTATACACGCATTTGCATCTTATCTTTATTTTTAATTTTCTGACTGCCGGAGGTCTTCCACGGAAGCTGCTCTCAACCTGGCGTTAGGGTCAACCTATTACCCTACCTCCCCCTTACCCCATTGCATATAGGAATCAGAGTTTTGTTGTTGTTGTTGTTGTAATATTATACTTTTATTTTAATAATATATAATAAATTATTAATAAAATTAAGATTATTTATTATTTTCATAAAAATAATATTATTGAATTGTTGAATATTTAATATATACTATTTAAAGTATAATATATTATTTTTAATTTAATATTATTATTTATAATATTTTAACAATATTATAATTTTAATAAATAATTAATGTAATTACTAATATATTATTCTCATTTTAAATAATTAATATAATTTATAATAAATGTATTTTATTAAAATATAATAATCGTAATATTTTTTATAAAATTGTAGATATAATATTTTAATAATAATATTGACATAAATGATATTAAATAAATTATTCTAATATTTTAAAAATAATATTATTATTTTGTTAATAAATAATATTATTCATTGTAGTTGATGTTTATAATAAAGAAATTTTAAAAAAAATTAGCAACCAGTAAAAAATAAATTACACAACATCATCCAAACACCGTAAAATGATTTTCATGAAATGTAATTAATTTTTTAGAATATATTTTCCATGAAACAAACGGACCTTTAAACTATGAATCCTAAGGAGTTTAAGCAATAATTGCGTGCAAATGAACATGTTGAACACTGAATAAACATTTTTCGTGAGTATATAAAACGAACATATAAACAAACGTTAAACGAATGTATTCACGAACGTTAAACAATAAACACAAACACCTTAAAAAAATAAACACGAACCGAACATAAACATCTTAAAAAATAAACAAACAAACATATTGTTAATTCAAACTTGGTTCATTTACACCCCTACATAACCCTAGGCGCAAATCTAGCTAGGATTTAACTTAAAATCTAAGTCATTCGTAACACATAATGACAATAATGAATAACTGTGCATAGACAACTAGCTTCTGATGAATATCCCCCAACTGTTCATTTATTTATTGCCATTCATCCAAATATCACACTTCAGGTGATCATGGCAGGAACGGTGACATATTATCTGCCGGGCACCTCTTAAAAATATATAGCTTCTAGTCTAAGAGAAACGCAAAGGCTGCACCATTTCATAGCTACTGCAAATTGAACAAAACCCTAAATCACAAAATTATTTGAAAGTTATCTCCATGGGAATAATAGTTTCTCAACTCAAGTTACTCACCAAACTCTAGCTGATCTCAATTGCATCTTTCATAACACAATTATTTGAAAGAAAATACATAGCTTTTAACCATTGTTCTAGGTCACACACACATTCTCATTGTCTCCCACTACAGAAGAAGAGTTTGAACTTGGACTAAATCTAATAGCACCATTCTTCTAGCTTTTAACCATAATGACCTACTTATGTCTGGCAAAATTAAACCAGAGACAGAAAGTTAAGAACACATGAGGGATTCCAGAAATAAAGACGAGATACACTCCAGAAACAAGAACAATGTTTTGTAACAATATCGAAACTAGTCAAGCTTACCAACAGTTCCGAAAGCATATATTGTGTTCCATAAGAGAATCCAAAATGCAAATTGATACAATAATTATTTCACAAGCCACCAGTGGAAAATTAATGGTCAACAATAAGAAACAGAAGCTTTCACATAAGTTGTTCTAGATTACAAGCACAACATCCAGTAATTCTAAAAAAAGTGACTAAATCACATATCGCCTCAAAAAGGAATATTAAAAGAAAACCACAAATTTTTTTTTATGGAAATAACAATCTTATCAGAGTTCAATTGCAAATATAAACCCCACTCTGATACCGATGATTCACCTCATAAAAATCTGTCTTACCTTCAGAAGCAGGCTTCAGACAGACCCCAGATAATGAAGTAGCTCCTTGCACTGAAAATTTTACATAACCAACAACTTCTAGTTCTTCATCAATGTCACCAGAATCCAAAGGCATCCTCGCCCTCAACTTGCCAGGAGTACCCTTTAGTGGAATTTCAGGCACATGCCACTTCAGTTCTCTCTCTGATCTGTTCAACACAGCTTTAGGTGAAACCTTTAACAATGTTGGATCAACCGGCAATTTCAGAACAAAAGTTACATCAGTCAATGGTGCAAGTAACTCGGGATTTGAAATATACTGTATCATCACCGAAAGTAATGTCCCACTAAGACGCTTAATCAATCTAACTCTCAAAGGCAATGGTGTCAGCCTAGGTAACAAACTATACTTCAATATAGGTATAGGCTCCTCAGATGGGGCAGTTCTAACATGAAACATTCCATTCCCTAGGCTACTAACCCGCGAACTCTGCATAACAAACCTCTTAACCGAACTTGTTCCTTCAACACGAAATGAAAACTCAGTATCTTTATCACCCGAAACTTTAGGGGGCATTGTTTTCAAGTAAACCACACCCATTAATCCAACCCTACCCAGCAATGATTCCCTAAACTCGGCACTGATCTCTTCTGAAATATACATTTCGGGACCTTTCATCTCAATCGTCTTCACCAAAAGATTCTCAAGAGACTTTCCACCATCAGCACCAGTAACGGCGGCACTTGGAGGGGCAGTACTATCCCCAGTTTGCAAAAGTTCGAGCCCACTAAGCCCTTCCTGTTTCTTAACCTTTTTATTTTCCAAAAACTCAGAAGCATCCAAGCCTCCACCCCAAGCATCACTAAACCCTTCAAAAGCTTCTCCAAGTGTAGTCTGTTCACTGCCAAACTCAATTCCTCCATATTTCCCCTCAAACCCTTCAACAGTAATATCCGTAGACTGGGTTGCTTCAGCAGGAGGCAATGTAGTCACCTCTAATCCTGCCAACGCCAATGTTAAATCATTAGCTGATGGATCCTTTGCCTTTTTGAACCCTCCAACTAAATCTTCTTGCTTATTTATGGCCTCACTCGCAGCAAAAGGATCTTTTTCTGCTTCTAATTCCTCTCCTTTAATCATTTTCTCGTCTTGCTCGAGTGTACTCTGAGGTACAAGAGTTGAAGCTTTCTGATCGCCTGCCGCTAGAGTTTCCGGAGGCAATTCGAAATTCGCATTCGAAAAGGCTTCAATGTTGGATTGGTGTTCGGCGGAATGGAGCTCAACGGCAGGCCATGTGTCAGCACCACGGATCTTGGCTTCAGTGTCGAGTCCAGAATGGACCATCTTGGCGAGCCCCTCGCCGTGCATATAGGAAAGCATGGCAGCAAGACGGATGTTGCTGACTCCACGTAGGACGATGTCGAGAGCCATGTAAACCTCGGCGTATTTCCGGGCGAGCTTTTCTGGGGTGACATCAACTCCACGGCAGGCCGTGACGATGACACTAACTGCTTGATTAACGATGTTGATGCACTCAAATACGTTGATCGAATTGTCATGATCAGCGGTAGTGATTCCGAGGACGTAGATAGAGTTTACGAGACGGTAAACAACACGATACTTACTTTCCACTCCGACGATTAGTTGGCCACTGGAGGCGGAGAGCGGGTCGTCGCCGATGGATTCAGTGGCAGAACTAGGATCAGAGGAGGAGGAGGTAGCGGCGGCGGTGGAGGAAGGGGACTTGTTGGAGAAGGCAAAACGGGTTTGTCGGAAGGCATGGAGGGCAATTAGGGCACGGGCAGGAGGGAACCACTCTCGGGTTTGAAGAAGGATGTCGGATCCGTTGGCAGGTTGGAGAGAGAGGGCCAAGCACGACATATTGGTTTTGTATGGATGAAGCGGCGAGACCTATGGATCCGGATCCGGATCCGACAGAAGTTCAGAGAGGATCGACGGCGGGATTGGCGGTGATTGATAAGAATCGCAGCCGTGGGAGCTTCAGCCGGCAGGTGGAGGTGATTTCATTTGCAGAGAAATGGAAAGAAGGGAGATGAGACTTTACAGCGCTGCTGCCATGTCCATCAGATTAGGCATCTCTACTAGTTGGGATTAATTGATTAATTATATTTAGGAGTAAATAACATTATTAGTCATCAATATATTGTCTATTTCTTACTTTTCGTCACTGAACTGTTTATTTTACAAAAATATCATTAAAGTTAATTTTTTTTATTGTGGTCACCGAGCATGTCACTTCTTTTTTAAAAGAAAATTTGTAAGATCAAATATTTAATCACTAAATTAAATTATATAATTATCATATTTTTAATTAAATTAATATTTAATTTAAATTATAAATAAAATTGAACATCAAATTAAAATTATTTTTTCGTTTCATTTAAGAATAAAAATAAGCTAATTAAATAATTATTTATTTAAGAGAGAAAATGACAGAACTTTAAAAGCGTGTGTGCATGTATTTATGTATATTTCCAATTTAAATCACATCATTTGTGACAAAAAATTGTTTAGGACTAAAATGAAAATTTGAGTATATGTAAAGGACCAATTTTCATATTGAGCCTTAGTGCAAGCTAGTTAAAGTTCTTTGATCTATTTTCACAATTCTCGTAAGACTTAAAACGTCAATCACCCCTTCGACTTGACAACTTTGGTCAAGTTGCCCAGTTGACATTTTCCTATTGAAATAACCCACGAACTTGATAAATTAGATCAAATTAACCTCTGAACTTATCAAGTTTCGTTACAATTGAATCTTAAGCTTTTCTTTCGACTAGACTAACCCTTAAGACCAATAAGTTTGATTAAATTATCTCTAAGCTTTAAAAAAACATAACACAAAATAACTCATAAATCTAACACATTATCTTTTTAAATAAAGTTTAAAACCATCCTCTGTCTCGGAAAGCCTCTCCAACCCTCGCAACCTGATAGAGCCGTCATCTGGCGATGGTCGGTGCATCAAGAAACCGCGACACATTGGGGATGACCCTCGCATGGATTGTCCATCTGATATGGACGCTGATATTGTTCATTCGAAGATGAGATCTCGCCAAATAACTAGCCACATGATCCTATGGTAAATCCTAATATCGTTGTTATGGAAGAGGTTGTGATTAGCTCTGATCAGCCTGTGGATCCCCAGCCTCCAGCGCCATCATATAAAGAAACTTTTGTTGGTAGTAGCGTTCCAACCCCAGACGAACCCATCATTGACGAAGAGGAAATTGAACTCCTTGAAGGAGACGTTACCCGAAGCCTTATTGACGGTACCGTTTCTATTGAGTTCTCGGAACGCTTCCAAAATCTAGCGACTAAAAGTCTGCACCAAACAGCAGTGGCTAAACTGCTATGAAGGAAGATAGGATATACGCCTAAGGAAATAAAATCTAGGACCTCTTGAAACCCTCTCAGTCGATCTGTGTAATGGATATCGAGAATGATTATTTCTTAATCACCTTTCATACGCAATCTGATTTCCTGAAAGCAATCTCAGACGGGGCATGGATGATTTTTTTTTTTACATTATTTGATGCTCGAACCGTGGACGGTCGATTTCTCTGCCTTACAGCCGCATCCTAATAAAGTCACTACTTTGATCCGTCTTCCTAGCCTCCCTCTCACTCTATACAAAAGAAGTTTAATTACCGAAGTTGGTGACTGCGTTGGCTCGGTGATAAAGATCGACTTCCAAACGAAATATGAACGATGGGGACGCTTCACTCGTATGGTCGTTCGTTGATCTGGGTAAGCCACATGTCTCTAAAATCATAATTAATGGTCGTCTGCAAATTGTTGAGTATGAAGCTTCACCTTCAATTTGCTTCGAGTGTGGTAAATATGACCACATCAAAGATAACTACTTGTCCTCTACTACGACAGTTCAAGTGGAAGAGCCTACCCCTCCCCCGCCTGCCCAAGAAAATTCTCCCTTTGGCCCTTGGATGTTGGTGACTAGAAAGCAACGTAAAAAGCTTGGTAAACAGACTACTTCTGGACAAGATGCCCCTGGAAACCTCAACAATGGTTCCCGTTTCAACCCTATACTCATATGAAAACCTTGACCAACCCAAGTCCCGACCACCGGGGAATGTTGACTCTTCCAGACACAACTCTCGGCAGGCTCCCTCAAAAGTCACTCCTAATCATAACATGGGTAAATCCATTGCTAATTTTGAGCATTCTAAATCAAAAGGAACTGCTCTCATTTGTAAATCCATATATGTTCGGCTCTAACCTTTTCCTTCGGTAGCTCCTCAGACATCCACCCGTTGATCAGCGGATGTTAATCGGGTATCCAATGCTAACACTTCTGCTAAGCAAGGCCCTATTCTAAATCCCTCGATACACACACCCCTGGTGTTTTTTTGCGAATTGTGATCCGAATGTCATGGTTCCTCATCAAGCTACTCCCTCGTACACTCACTAAGTCACTCCACCCAAGCCTCCGGATAATAGTAGTGCTTTGCAGCAGCTTAACGTCCCCATACCTGTTGATTCCCATGCATTACTTGTTGTCTTCCAACGTTCCTCTGAGCAGAGCCATATTCTCCCCTCCGGATGGGAATGAAGCCTCGTCGATGGCCTTTTAATGCATCAGTATTGCCTGCCTTATTTTTAATTTTTTTAATGTTTAGTGATCTTAAATTCATCACTACTGCTATACAACTTATTCTTGATGATGCTCCTAATGTATTGGGTTTATTGAGCCAAGAATATGCGGCCTTAAAGTTGATTTTGTCATTGCCTCCTTTAGTTTTCCTAATTCTCACAGAATTGAAGTGTTGGGGTTCTCTGGCGGTATTTGGCTTTGCTGGTACAATTATGTTCATATTACAGTTTTGGATAATCATTTTCAGTTTGTACGCTTTCGGCTTCGTTGCAAATGTTCTGGTTCTACCCCTCTTGCTACTCTTGTGTATGGTAGCCCCAATGTCGTGCGTCCTAAACATCTTTAAGATCACCTTGGGTCTCTTGCGCCTCTATTTGTTGTCCTTGGATCCTATTGGGGGACTACAATGCCACTCTCCATGTTTCTGATCGAAAAAAAACTGTGCCCACTCCTCAAAGCCAAGCGAATTTTTTCAAGAGTTTGTCTTCGATTCTGGTCTTTGCGATATCGACTTTCAAGGTCTGGATTTTACTTGGAATCGAGGACATGCTTATGCCCGTCTTGATCGTGCCATCTGTAATAGTTACTGTGATGAGTATTTTCCTAATGCGGCTGTCCATCACTTATTACGGGTCCTCTTTGATCATCAACCGCTCTTTGTCACTCAGAACAACCTCCTACGCACTCCGTCCCTCACCAATTTCGATATTTTTCTGTCTTGCTGTCGTATGATGATTTCGACAGAATGGTTTTTGAAACCTAGAAGCCGACGCAGAGCCTTTCTGACACGGTCCCTAATTTTACTTCTACCGCTTCCACTTGGAATTCTTTGGTCTTTGGTTTTATTGGCGCCAAAAAGCATGCCGCCATGGCTCACCGTAGAGGTGTTCAGAAGGCCCTTGCGATGCACCACTTGATTTCTCTTCGTCAGCTGAATTTGACCTCCAAGTTGTATAGGAGTCTTTGCTTGACCATAAGGAGCTCATTTGGAAACAAAAGTCTCGATCTAACTGGATCTCTCATGATGATAGAAACACCCAATATTTTCACTGGAAAGCTATGCATCTCAAAGCTAAGAGCTATATCTCTTCTTTTTAAACTTACAAACAATGAATGGTGTCAAGACGATACCATTCTGTAAGCCGAAGTTGCCCATTACTTTCATGCACTTTATCCTGACACTATTGGTCCTAGCGTCTCCTTCCCTCTTACTGGTGCATTCTCTGTCATTGATGAGGCTAACTCTAGAACCTTAGCTTTTGTTCCTGATGAGGCGGAAATTCAAGCAACCCTCTTTAATATGGCTCCTCAAAAGGTTCCAAGGATTGATGGGCTCCATGCGAAATTCTTCAAGAAGAAATGACGTCTTGATTGCACTAAGGTCTGTAAAATGATAAAGTCGGTCTTCAGTGGTGGCCCAATCAAAGCCTCCATCAACCGTACTACCATTGTGCTAATTCCCAAAGTCAAGTTTCCTCAAAACAGTGGCAGATTTTAAGCCAATTAGTATTTGCTCTGTCCTCTATAAGCGCATCACTAAAATCATCGTCAGGAGACTTAGGTCAATTATGCCTTGCTTAATCCACCTGGTCCAGACTAGCTTTGTTGCGGGAAGATCTATTACAGAGAATATAATCCTTAACCAGGAAATTATTACACGCGTAACAAGAAAATGCAGCAAGGATGGATTGCCATCAAAATGGATCACGAGAAAACTTTTGAAAATATCAAATGGGATTTTATCTAGGATACCCTTCTTGTTGCTACTCTCCCCACCAGACTTGTCCAGACTATCATGAGATATATTTCTTCTTCTTCCATGCAGATCCAATGGAATGACTCTCTCACCCCTATCTTCTGTCCTGAGCGGGGTCTTCGTCAAGGCGACCCCCTCTCTTCATATATGTTTGTTCTCATAACGGAAAGACTTGGTCATCAAATCCACAATTTGGTCTCTTCCGGATCTTGGAAGCCTTTTTATCTGGTTGGCAATGGAATTTTGTTATCTCATTTGTTCTTCATCGATCACCTTATTCTCTATGCATCAACCCTCACGAAATTTGGCTCTTCTTCTGGTCACAAGGTTAATTCTTGTTAGACGCATATCTACTTTTCTCCCAATAGCAATCCGGAGTTACAACAGTCTATTTGTTCTTTTTTGGGTTTTCAGCAAGTTGATTCCCTTGGTAAGTATTTCAGTGTTCCCATGATACACAGAAGAGTTTGCTGCACAAATTATGAATTCATCCTTGATAAAATAAAATTTTGTTTCAATGGTTGGGCTACTCAAACCTTATCCTTGGCGGGTCGAATTACACTCGCTAAATCTGTTCTGGCTGCTATCCCAGTTTATTTTATGCAAACTACTCGTCTCTCGATAGGTTTTTGCAATGAAATTTGATAAAATCATCGGACAATTTATATGGGGATCAATAG